TGCAGGACTTGGGCTTACTGAGTATGGAAAGATGAAGGAGAGGAGTCAAAATTACACCTGATTACCAGTGTAACAATTGAAAATTTCAAGAAAGAAATGATGAATCTTGTTCTAAACAGCCAGGATGACTTAGAAAACAATGAAAAAAAACTGAAGAGTAGGTTTTTTGCACCTTCTATTAGTTACTGAATGCTACCTTAAAAATAAGCACTATTTGAAAATAAATTATAAACTTTTTTTCCTTTGTCTATGGTAAATACCTGAGCGTGTTATAACTCCATAGGTGGATGGCTCATTCTCCTTTTACGGAGGCTACTCTCTATTTCATTTTGTTGCCATTATCTGTTTAACATGTGATCCTTATAAATTTTAACAGTTGAAAAACAAACAGCTGGCTGAACTCTCTGCTTCAGTCTTTTGGATACTTTGCTTCTTGGTAAGTGATCAGTATTTTGATACTGCTGTAGTAATAACAGGAAATGATCTGTTAAAATCTGGATCTCCAGCTATAGATGAATGCCAGGGTAAAGAGGAGAGCTAGTCTCAGAATAAAGTCTATAAAAACAGTTTCGGGAGTTATTTCCAGGACCACAGGGAGAGAACTGTAATTTTCTCTCAACATCGGAGAAGCAAATGCATAGTGAAAGAACATCTTATGGTGATCACTGAACTGCATCAAATGGAAAGCTTATGGCCACAAATTAAAACGATTGAGATGGTAAATGCTAGAGCTTCAATTATACATGATGTGAAATACCATTTCCTGAAACAAAAATTTACTCAGAAAAAGTTTCATAAGCAGGTAGCACACTTCTAAATTGGTCCAACTGTAATTTTGCTAATGTTTGCAAAATAGTTAGTTGGTTCTATTCACTAGAAAGGACAAGAGAAGACAAACAATGGTGGTGGGATTAGCCATAGATAAAGGAAGGGTACTTTCACAGAAAATTGAAAAACAGACTGGTTAATAGTACTAAAAAATAATTTTAACTTGTCATATAAAATTGCCATGGATTATAGACATTTTCTTAGATTTACAGTGGGAGGTTTTCTAATTAGCCTTAAGATTTGTTCTGTTAATAGAATTAATCATTATCATGGATAATTAATAAACTAATCCCAGAGGCTTTCTTCTTCATCTTCCTCTCTCTTAGGCTTTCCGGACACCACTGCACAGAAAAAGAACCAACTAAATGGTAGACCATGAAGTACAGAGAGCTTCCTGGTAGAAGGCTGGTAAACAGCCTTGTACAGCAAAACTGTCCAAACACCATACTCTAGGGAGTCATAGTAGAAGTGGAGAAAGCCAGAACAACGCGGGCAAAAGAAGATAATCTTGGTTTAAAAGATCCACAAAGCAAAAGTGTCCACATACAATCATAACTACAAAGTATTATTTTCCCAAATGCTTTAATGTAACATATTTTGCCAATTTTATCATTTTAAAAAGGTAATTGATGAAATAACCAAGAATTCAATTAAAAATAATATATAATAAGCCAACATTTTATTAAGAATTTTAGAGCAGTAACAATTTTCTAAAACACTAGAAACATATCAAATATTTGTATTTAATTCATAAAGTCTTATACTCATAAAGATTTATACTGTTATGTTTTAATCTGTACTAAATTAGTAGTCATAATGGCTAAAAGAATAGGAGGCATGGTGTCTAAAAACACTTTTCAAGATTTGTCTGTGTTTTAATCATTGGAACTTTTCAAATGACAGTAAATGTACAAAACATCACTTGATTCCGAATACACAAATCATCTGTTTCAAATTAATTGTTGTTACTCATATAAAAACAATGACAGTCTAGATTCAAGAATAGCCTTGAAAAGTGAATAACTAGCTGATATTACAAATAATCTTTCTTTCCAAAATTCCACCTCCTCCACAATGTCTTCTTTGGCTTCACCTCTATCTTCCTGAACAGGAAGTCAACTCTCTCTTCTTTTCTACACTACATCCATCAGAGATCTTACCACTCTAATTTCTGATTTGGTTGGTTAGAGACCTATTATTTCCCCTAGCAGACTGTAAGCTACTGGAAAGCAAGGTCTACATTAGGTTTATCTTGGTTTCCTTACTATATCTAATTCAACACCCAATATCTATTAGTCTTTTTAGAGTTGTGTATTTACTAGTGTTCAACGATCTGCTGTATTTTAAAATTCCACAGTTTTATACAAAGTTTCTTGTAACAATATTTCCTCAGCTAATAAACTAATTTTAAAAGTGTCTTATACTTAGATTACATGTGAGATTTAAAAATTTAAATCTCTTAACTGCACAGTTTGTCCAGTACTCAAAGACATATACCTGATTACAAGTGAATTAGTGAATTTGCTGTCATTTTATTAACTGTTAAAGGCTTGTCAATATTAGTTTTTATTCTCAGATCCTATACAGTATGAAATATAACTACTTCAAATCTAGCATCTTTGGGTAATTCCTATGTGAAACAGGTAGAAGCAGCTATTTTAAAATCAGCTTTATTGAGGTATAATTTACATGCAATAAACTGCACATATTTAAAGTATATAATTTGGTAAGTTTTGGCATATGTATATATCTGTGAAACCAGTACCGCAATCAGGATAATGAACATTTCTATCACCCTCCAAAACAGTCCACCCCTTCTTCTCCCCACTCTCTATCCTACACAACCACTGATCTGCTTTCTGTCACTTAATTAGTTTGTATTTTCTAGAATTTTTTTAAAAAATAGAATCTTACAGTATGTACTCTTTTTGTATGGCTTCTTTCTCTCAGCATAATTATTTTGGAAATTTATCCATGTTGTTGCATGTATTGATTGTTCATTCATTTTAATTGCTGAGTAGTACTCCATTATATGGCTATACAATTTGTTTACATAAATTCTCCTGTTGATCAACATTTGGGCTGTTTCCAGTTTTCAGGTATTACAAATAAAGCTACTATGAACATTCACGTACAAGTCTTTGTATGAACAAACGCTTTCTTTTCTCTTGGGTAAATACCTGCGAGTAGAATGGCTGGGTCACATAATAGGTGTATGTCTAACTTTTTCAGAAATATCCAAACTGTTTTCCAAAGTGGTTACACATTAATTATATCCTCACCAGCAGTGTGTGGTCCAGTTCCTCCATATCTCTGTCAACACTAGTAATCGTCTTTTTAATTGAAGCCATTCTAGTGGCTATGAAATGGTATCACATTGTGGTTTTAATTTGCATTTCACTAATGTCCAATGAAGTTGAGCATCTTTTTATATGCTTATTTGCCAGCCCTATGTCTTCCTTGGTAAAGCGACTGTTCAAATCTTTTGCTTTCAATTGGACTGTTTGTCTTCTTACTGTTGCGTTGTAAGAGTTCTTTATATATTCTAGATACAAATCCCCTGTAGGATATATAATTTGCACTTTTAAAAGAGAAATGCAACTGTTTTAGATAATTATGCTTTGTTAATGTAACACGTGGTCTCTCAGTCTCTTTAAATAATCCTTATAATAAAGGGAAGCATTATCTCCATAATCTTCAGCTACCAAAATTTCCCATGCCTTTAAGGTGGTCAGCCAGCCAGCATACGAAAAATAGGGAGAGTAGAAGTAGAAAACATACTGATTTTCTCAACATTCCCCTTAATCTCTCCTGATTGTTGGAGTCTCTTAGCAAACTACTAGTAGTAGCAGATAACAGCCTGGATCATGTAAATGATAATTAGTCCTCTTCTTTTTTTCTTTTAAGCAAATTTTTAAAAAGCAGTTAGCAAGTAGTAACATTATTACTAACAAAACCTCCTGTACCTTTTATTAGATTTCTCTCTTAGACTGACTCTGTTTACATGAATGTTTTCCTTAACAGATTAAAGCAAAACATCTCATACAGTGCCTAGTACCTATTGCTATTCTTATTTCCTTGGTTCTCTCTTTTTCTTTTAATTCCTATCCATGTGTTTTCCTTCAATCCTCTCTTCTACCCTTCCCAGTTATCTCACATTTATACTCGAATTAATTTGCTGATCCCAAATGAGTTTTGGTTACAGACTTTTTGGTGACCCTATAGATCACCTACGATGCTTCTTACTTCAAAAGACAACAAAATGAAAATGACAATAAAACTCTTTGCGGAACTCATGGGAAGAACAGCAGAGATTCTGCTGAGTGAAAAAGTGAAACCTTCTTTTTTTTATAGTACCCACATAAATTAGTACTCTCTGCCAGAATAAAGCAAACACATAATTATTTTTTAAACTTTACTATTTAAGACTTCAGTCTACCCAGCAATGCAAGAACCACCGAGGAATCTTTCCCAAACAAGAGCCAATCTGGGAAAATTCTGTGGCTAAATAAATCATCCTCCCAAAAAGTAAGATATAGAGAAAAAGAAAATAGTATACAGAATCAAATCTACTCATTTTAAACCACGGAAAGAAAACACATTTAAGTTTGTTTAAAATCTTTTTATATATAAAGAACAATTTTATACATTTTTAAAATTTTCATGAGACGTATTATCCCTCAAGGAATGCTTCAATGTCGGACACAAATTTGAAACTAATTGTTCTATAAGTAGCACTAGAATTAGGACAACCAGTAGATTATACTGGCAATCTCTGACATAATATCAGGATATAGATAAGTATTTCATGGAAATAATTACAACACAATTAACTATATTCCCCAAATCAGAATGGTTCTCATCAGACTCCTAATACTAAGCTTATTTTGACACTGTTTTTAAAAAGGCCTAGTATTAAAAGAATAAACTTATAAACTTCCTCTGGATAGAAAAAAAAAAAAGAATAATTTTGGCCTATTAAAGATAATATCTATTGATAAAACGTAGCTTTGTTCCCAAACATGCAGTAAATCATTACTCTAATGTATGATCACTATATGAAATAATCACCTGGTTACTAAAAAATTATGTAGATCTTAAAATTTTCAGTTCAACTGGTTTTCTTTTGATATAATGAAAAATTTAATGATTGGCTTCAAATCCATTTTTGATAATGTAAAATATGTGAGTTTTATTATGTGTTAAAGAAAATAAAGATAATATGACCCAAAATCTATTTATTAAAGTTACAATAAAATACTTTTCAATGCATACAAAATTGCAAAATAACTGATGCTTTTTTCAATAGAGATACCAGATATAATATTTACTGAAAAGATAAAACAAAGATATGTTTAATGACTTTTGTTCTCTCTTAAGGTCACCTTATTGAACGATACATCATGAAATCAATAGTTGTACATCTAGGAAATTTACCAATGGAGCTCTCTTCCACTGGTGTGTATATTTTAATTTGTCTCATGTGGGTGTCTCTTCCATTTTGGTGATTGGCTAGAACAGCAATCTGTATCATGAATGTGCGAGTTGGCTTCTTATGATTATCAGTTAAGGGAACGTGAATCCAGCCACTTGGTTCCACCAATTCAAGTTGCTGCCAAGAAAAGAAAATTCAGATTATGTTTTCACCCAATGAATACAATTTATTATAATAAATGCATTCTTTATTATAAGTCTAAATTTTAAGTCAAAGTTGACTTATAATTAACATTTTGCTCACTGAGAGAATGACAATGTGATAATAATCATTATCAGTTATTGGACACTTTTACCATGGTCCATTTTTACAGTTGCTAAGCATTATACATGTATCATCTTAGTAGACAAAATAAAAATGGATGTACGCAGTCTTAGTGTTTAGAGAAACTTAAACATAACGAACAACATACAACAAAACGTGTAACAGACAATTTTAGAATTAGATATGTATAAATGTACACAGTTAATGGAAGACCATGCTGATACAAGTAGGAAAAGAATCTAACATTATGCTTCTGGTATATTTTATTTCAGGGACCATGCCTAATACATCCAAACTCATATAATAATATATCAGAATCTGTATAAATTATAAGAATATTAACAAAAGAAAATCAGTCCTTAAATAATCCTCAGACAAAGCTTTTTTCTTGGAAAACAGTAAGTGATTTATCTAGTCTGGATGATAATCTAAACCTACAATCTAGATTTTTAATTTTTTTCAATAAGAAATGCCAGATAAATTTTTTTTAATTTTTCATTTTATTTTAATCAAGAGTCTAAACTGTCCTTTCTTAACAAAGGAAAGAAAATTATAAGTCAAAAAGTAAACCTAAGTTTCTAAAAATTTTCCTAAAGCTATGAAGTAGTTTTTAAAAGATAAATATTGACTTTTAAATTATCTTAATTATTGAACACATATGAACTAGATGCATCACAGACAATACAGTTTTATCTTATCAACACAGCCAAATGGCAATGAGTGTCAAAGAATCTAAATCTGGATTCCATAGTTACTCCAGCAAAACAATTAAGTGAACACCACTATGTCTTCTTCTTCTTTTCTTTTCCTTCCTTCCCTCCCTTCTTTCCTTCCTTTCCTCCCTTCTTTCCTTCCTTTTTCTTTCTTCTTTTCTTTCTTTCTTTTCCTTTCATTCTTTCCTTCTTTATTTCTTTCTCTTCATTTTTTATGGAGGAGGAGGGTGGGTAGACAAAAGCAGAGATAGAGCAAGAGAAAGAGAACCGGAATCTTAAAAAAAGGTAGTTATTTTTAAGACTGAATGATTTCCTCCTTTTAACTACAAAATATAAGAATAAATGAATCTCTATCCCTCATGGGAATTTTTAGTCAGTGGCTTTTTATCAAATTCCATTAGCACTGACTTAAAATGAACAAGGCAGAGACCAGACATATCTGGTTTCTATCGCTAACCTTTTATTCATTCAGGCAACAAATAGTTATTGACACTTAAAATGTCAAGGTATTGTTCTAAGTATAGTTAAGCATACAAAACGTGAATAACGCCTTGTTCCTAACCTTTAAAAAAGTTTAGAGGCACATAAACAACCTCTCTGGCTTCATTCAGTTTCTTCACATATAAAATAAAGGGATTGGACAAGTTATCATCCAAAGTCTCTTCCAGCTCTGACATTCATTGATTCTACATAAAAGAAGAATCATGTGGTAAGCAGAATAATGGGCCCCCAAAGATGTTTATGTCCTTCCCCATAACCTGTGACTTTGTTAATTTACATGGCAAACAGGGCTTTGCAGGTATGATTAAGTTAAAGATGGGGAAATTATTCTGGATTATCTGGGTGGGCCCAACGTAATCACAAGAGTTCTTATAAGAGGAAGACAGGAAGACGGAGGAGATGTGATGATAGAAGCAAAGGTTGGAATGATGTGACCACAAGCCAAAGAATGTGAGCAGCCTCTAGAATCTGGAAAAGGCAAGAAATGGTTCTCCTCTAGAAATCTCCAGAAAAGAAGGCAGCTTGCTGACACCTTGATTTTAATCCATAAGATCCATTTTGGACTTCTGTCCTCCAGAACTGTAAGATAATACATTTGTGCTGTTTTAAACTACTAAGTGTGTGGTAATTTGCTATAGCAGAAATAGGAAACCATTACAATAGATATATGTGGGAGTTCAGAGAAGGGAGAAAAGCACTTCTGGTTGGAATAATCTATTCTCCAGATAAACGTATTATAATGAATCTCAGTGATGAACAAAAAGTAAAACTAAGATTCTAAATTCAACTCCTTACTAACAGAATGTTTTTGACAAATTTAAACATTATTTCTGAAAGAGTCAACGTTATTTTCATAGCATATCTTAAATGCTTCAGTGTACTAAAAGTTACATTAAGATTTTATAGCATATGTGCTTTTTGGCATGATATGTGCAGAATTATAAATGTAGCAAATTATTCAATAAAGACTATTAGTAAACTATTTCTTTAGAATATATCAAAGTTTATCTCAATCACTAAAACTACATTACAAAGTATGTATAGTTGCTAACATCTCTCACATGGCTTCACAATGGACAATACTCTCTATACATAAATACCAATTCATGTGTCTATTTCAGTTCTATTGTACCCAGTTTAAAATTCTCTGTCATCTCTAAAAAGTTATTATTCGGATATTGCCATATCTTATTTCATAGATTCAAAAAACAAGTATATATAAGATACATAATTTTTATGTTTTTTGTAAATGTTTGATTAAAAGGTTAATATATTTTAAGCAAAAAATTATTTATAATATTTTTATATTTTAAACAAAAAATTAGTGAAAGGTAAAATTTTGCCAATTTAACTTTCTTTTTTCCCCCATTTCTGGTTTGGACCTCAATAAATAAAATTTTCATCACTGTTAATATGTAAATTTTTTCTATATTCTTCCTTGTTCTTTTTTTCCACCATCTCCCTTTTTGGCTCTTTTCCCCATATATTCACTCACCCAACATTTTTTATTGGCATGCCTACTATATACAAAAAATTCTGCTAGCTGTAGATGTAGGGCAGGTGTTGGTAAACTTTTCTGTAAAGGACCAGATAGTAAACATTTTAGGTATTGTGGGCCATGTGGTCTCTATCATGACTACTCAACTCCGCCTTTGCAAAGTGAAAGCAGTTATAGGCAATATGAAAGTGAATGGGTGAGGCTATGTTCCAATAAAACTTTATTTACAAAAGCAGGTCACAGGCCAGATTTGATCCATGGGCTTCAGTTTGCTGACCCTTGACATAGGGAGTAGTTATTGATGGAGCCTACCCTCAGAAAGGTGACATAACTTTGTGAAATACATAAGCTGTCTCAGTCAGTGCGGAGTCAGGAGACACAAGTTATTTTAAGAGAGAATTCAATAAGTAGGAATGAAGTTGTTAACCAGAGAAATGAGGAGGCCAAGGAGAATACTAAGGTATCATGGAGGGAACAAGTACAAGAAGTGCAATTCTAATGCTGGGGGAATAAAGGAAAGAGGCTGAGATTATTAAAACTGAGAAGCTTAAAAAAGGGGTTCAGTGGAGTTGAAACTCAGATCTCCAAAAAGGGAGCTATTTGGCTGGTGTTGGTGTCTCTGGAGGAAGAGCCCTGTGAGGCTGGTCTATAGACCTCTGAGGAGTGGGTGCCGACTCGCCAGTGGTGCTGGTATTTCTGATGTGGGGCTTCATGAGGTTGGTACTGTGAGTGTTATAAAAACTACAAACTGGACTCAGGTATTGCTATGGGAAGGAACTGCTGCTGTGAAGAAACAACGCTAGGATGATGGGAAGCAAATAGGATACAAACAGAAAGAAGCAAATCCCTTTTTCCTCCTCCTGCCTTGCAATTTCCCTCTAGTGCCCCCTTTTGCCAAAGCCTAACAGATATGCAAGGGGTCCATGCATATCATATCTTTATTGAACAACTATTATGTGCCAAACAATGTTCTAGGGACTGAAAATACAGTGGTGGATAAGACAGACAAATCATACCTGAAAAAACTACTCAAAGAGGTATAAAGAGATATATTTTAAACATGATAATAAGACTTCATGAAAGAAGTCATAATAAAAACACTAGCAGTGAGGAAGAAACCAAAAAAACCAGAGTTAACCAAAAAGAATAAATTAATATGTTCATAAAATACAATGTAAAGGTCAATAATAATTCCTCAAAAAGAACGCTGATGATCATAATAGCTGCAAGCTCTTATACAGCACATACTATGTGCCAGGTACTGCTCTAAGAGCATTAAATATATTAATCTATTTAATCCTAGCAATGAGGCAGGTAATATTATTATCCTAATGTTACAAATGAGACAACTGAGACTCAGAAAGGTTAAGTAACTTTGCTGAGGTCACACAGCTGGTAAGTGGCAGAACTGATTCAAACAGGCAGTGTAATTCCAGAGACTACACTTTTAAACACAAAATATGTTCTACATAATGTAAAGGTAATAATTTAGTAGTAATAATTTTATCTGAAATCCTATATTATACAAATAAAACATGAAACAAAAGAAATATGGCCAAGAGAAAATTGGCTGCTGAACTCATCATAATGCAGTTTCCTTGATGTCACACATAACTATACATATACACATATGACACAAAGGGAACTACAAAAGGGAACAATAATGGAATTAAAAGCAGAATGCCAATTGCAAAATCTTGATAAAGGAAAAAATTATATATATTGTAAAAGAAGTTTTAAAAAAGGACATGGAAGGATGATATACAGAGAGCACAAAACAAGTTGGTAAAAGACGCATACAGGAAACACTGCTTTAAAAAAACTCAGGTTCTTGTGAGGATATTATGCTAGTGAAATATGCCAGTCACAAAAGAACAAACACTGTGTGATTCCACTCATATGAGGTATTTAGAGTGGTCATATGAGGTATTTAGAGTGGTCAAATTCATAGAGACAGGAAGCAGAATGGTGGTTGCCAGGGTCTGCAGGAAGGGAGGAAAGGGGAGTTATTGTTTAACGGGTATCGAGTTTCAATTTGGGAAGATAAAAAAAGTTCTGGAGATGGATGGTGGTGATGGTTGCACAACAATGTGAATGTACTTAATGCCACAGAACTGATTAGAATGGCAAATTTTATGTTA